CTTAACCAAAGATGTAATGTATTCTACAATATATAAAGTGCTGTGTCCCAAATTTTCAGTCATTGTAACACTCCAGCTAGAGAAATTACTACTGTAGTGGAAAATTGACAGTTTCAGCTCTACACCACTTCTGCCTGCTGTGGGCATCTTGTCCAAAACGAGTGGCCCTGGTGAGTCTGTCAATTAGTATATCTACTGCTTTGTTCCCAGGGGTGAGCATGTGATCTCAGGTGGACCAATTATAACAGCCTATCATTCTTGGAGCAGTAATTGGCTTAGAAATGAGCATTAAAAAGATCAACCTGATGTTGGGTGAGAGAATTATCCATTTTTAAAAAATAAAAATCCTCCTGAATTTGCTGAGCTGGAAGAATGTGACTCTAGGTCAATTAGAAGTAGTTTTTCCTACCAAATGATGAGAGTTTGCTTGAATAAGAATGTGAGTATTTGGAGAGAGGCAGAAAGTTGAGATGGGAAAAGAGACTTATGACGTTCTAGATCTAATTGCATTGACTACTGAACTTCCAGCAATGTGAAGTTCCTGAATTTGTTTTTTAAGTGATCGTGAATTGAATTGACAAACAACTTGAATTGAATTACACACGCAAAAAAATCTTGGCTAATGCAATTATTTCCTTCAGTTTCCAGATGAGTAAATTGAAGCCCAGAAAGGCTAAGTAACTTGAACTATTTCATAAGTAAGTCAGACTCAAACTCATGTCCTAACACGCTAAAACCTTTGTTCTTTATATCATGCTTTCATTCCTCAGCATCTACTAAAGAAGTCTGGTATTCAGGAAAAACATGACCTAAGAAATAGATCAAATATGGCTGAGAATGATCTTACACAAAATACAAAGTTAGCTGAATTGCTTTTGATCCAAATTTATGGGGGTCTTTGCAAAATTACAAGGGTCTAAGGTGTCAAACATTAAAAAATAATAGGCTAAGTACTTAAAATGAGAATTTAAATTTTATGTTATACAAAAACAAGCACATTTTGTTCCATAGCCCTTCAGAATTTTAAGTAAGTTTTGTTAAATTATGGGCAGCAGACACAAACCAATAATGCACAAATCTACCCATGCTCTACTCTGTAGGCTAGTAGAGATATCCTGTTGCAAGTTAACATTTTACAAATGGCAGGCCCTCATCACCTACCCTTAAATTGGCGGGCTAGTTTGAATGACTAAAACGTGTGCATGTGGAATTTTTCAATCAGACAAAGTGATGTAAAGAGAAAATGAAGTTCCCTTTACCATCTGAAGTTTACCTTTACCATAGTGACAAATTAAAACTTGTTTCTTCAGGGCCCCATTATACTTGGAAGTGTTCTTTGATTTTCCTTTTTTTCTCCTAATCTACCTCTGTTCTTCTTTGACAGAATACTTTCCTATGAGAAAGAATCTGAAGAGCATAATGTTTAACTCTTGTACATTTAAGGAAGTATTAAAGGAAATAAATACAGGAGAAAAGTGAACTGCTAAACATGCCTGAATACATTCTGTCATTAATGTCTGGATTTTGTTTTTTACTTTTAATACATATGTTAAAATCTTTAATGTAATAATTAATGTATAAAAATCACAATAACATTTATGTAAGCTATATAAGGCATATCTGTGACTCCATCACTGATCTTAACTCAGTCAGCCCTTTTAGGAATGTGATTGTCCCCAAGACCAGCCTGTGCCTCGGCTTTAAGAGGTAACTAACTCCTCTCCTGAATTTTATGCTTGTAATTCTCTTACAATTTTAGAAGTTTAGTTCTTTTTAATTAATGTTTCTCTAACAATAACATTGTATACTTTTGCTTGATTTTGAACATTCTATTTGTATCATGCTATATGTCATCTTCTGTGACTTATTTCATTCCACATTATGTTTCTAAAATGTATTTCTATGCTTGCGAGTAGCTTTAGTTTATTCATTTTTAGGTTGTGTAATATTCCACTGTATAATTATTCTGTACTGTAATTCATTTAGTCACTCTCCTGTTGTTGGAAATTGGAAGGTTTTTTCTTTTTTTTTTTTCAATTTTTGCTGATACAAAGGATACTGTGATACATGTTCTATTCATTTCTCTTGGTATACATGTCCAACAATTGTTCTAGTTTCTAGGGTACCTAAGAGTGGAATTGCTTGGTCTTTGCATGTAAACTATTTAACTAAATATGAAGGTGTCAAACTGTTTTCCAAAGTGATTAAATTGATTTATGTTCCCATCAGACGTTTATGAATATCCATTGATTCAAATCTTTACCAATGTTTGGCAATGTCAGACTTCTGTATTTTTGTACATTTAGTCTTTCACAGGTGTACTCTCTTCCTGATGTCTATTCTGTTCTGGTCAATAAAGTTGACTCTGTGTCTATACCACACAGTATTAATTATTCTGCCTTTGACTTTTTTTTTTTTTTTTTTTTTTTGACAGAGTCTTGCTCTGTGGCCCAGGCTAGAGTGCAGTGGTGTGATCTCGACTCACTGCAACCTCCGCCCCCCGGGTTCAAGTGATTCTCATGCCTCAGCCTGAGTAGATGGGACTACAGGCCCACGTCACCATTCCAGGCTAATTTTTTTTTTGCATTTTAGTAGAGATGTGGTTACAATATGTTGTCTATGCTGGTCTTGAACTCCTGAGCTCAGGCAATCCACCCACTCAGCCTCCCAAAGTGCTAGGATTACAGGCATGAGCCACCGCTCTTGGCTGACTTTTTATGTAAGTTATCTTAACAACAAATTATCAATGTTCTCAAAATACACTATTGGGTTTTTGCTTTAAAGGGCTAATATCCAGAACCTACAAAGAACTCAAACAAATTTACAAGAAAAAAACAAACAACCCCATCAAAAAGTGGGCAAAGGATATGAACAGACATTTCTCAAAAGAAGACATTCATACAGTCAACAGACACATGAAAAAATGCTCATCATCACTGGCCATCAGAGAAATGCAAATCAAAACCACAATGAGATACCATCTCACACCAGTTAGAATGGCGATCATTCAAAAGTCAGGAAACAACAGGTGCTGGAGAGGATGTGGAGAAATAGGAACACTTTTACACTGTTGGTGGGATTGGAAACTAGTTCAACCATTATGGAAAACAGTATGGCGATTCCTCAAGGATCTAGAACTAGATGTACCATATGACCCAGCCATCCCATTACTGGGTATATACCCAAAGGATTATAAATCATGCTGCTATAAAGACACATGCACACGTATGTTTATTGCGGCACTATTCACAATAGCAAAGACTTGGAATCAACCCAAATGTCCATCAGTGACAGATTGGATCAAGAAAATGTGGCACATATACACCATGGAATACTATGCAGCCATAAAAAAGGATGAGTTTGTGTCCTTTGTAGGGACATGGATGCAGCTGGAAACCATCATTCTCAGCAAACTATCGCAAGAACAGAAAACCAAACACTATGTTCTCACTCATAGATGGGAACTGAACAATGAGATCACTTGGACTCAGGAAGGGGAACATCACACACTGGGGCCTATCATGGGGAGGGGGGAGGGGGGAGGGATTGCATTGGGAGTTATACCTGATGTAAATGACGAGTTGATGGGTGCAGCACACCAACATGGCACAAGTATACATATGTAACAAACCTGCACATTATGCACATGTACCCTACAACTTAAAGTATAATAATAATAAATAAATTTAAAAAAAAAAAAGATACTGGGAGACGAAAAAAAAAACAAAAAACAAAAAACAAAAAATAAAAGAGGCCAATGCCACCTCAATCATAGCTTTCAAACCTCCTAGCTCAAGGTTCAATATCCTTTTCCTGGAGTCAGACAGTTGGCCCTGCCAGATTGCTGTGCACTATCTCAGAGTATGATAGGACAATATTGGAGGTCCCAGATGTCTGTTCCTTCTGTCTCCAAGAGGCATCCTGGTCAACACCATGTTGGCAGGTCAAAACATGTGCTGCTTGGCCATTTGCCCTTTTATGCACGATCCTGTAAATATCTGTAAGCCACCAGTTACTGATCTACTCTCCCAATTATGAGCACCCAGGTTACCTCCAGTTGCTGGACACTACAAACCACCCCATCAGTTACTGATCCACTCTCCCAATTATGAGCACCCAGGTTACCTCCAGTTGCTGGACACTACAAACCACCCCATCAGTTACTGATCTACTCTCCCAATTATGAGCACCCAGGTTACCTCCAGTTGCTGGACACTACAAACCACCCCGTCATCTTTGTGCATATATGCTTACAAACCTGTGTGAGGATTTATTTGAGATCTATGCCCAGGAATGAAATGGCTGGGTCATAGGTTATGTAGATACTTTATCTGCTTAAATAAGAATAGCAGCACCAATGTACACTTTCACATTACTCAATATCTTTACCTATGTTTCTCTGCATGTACAGGTATAATGTCTGGACAGTTTTGGCCTTACTCACACAACCCTCCTGAAAATAATTTCTCAACTCTAGTCCCCATACACCGTGAAAAGGGCCTTTCCTCATGACAATATGGACTTGTGCTTCTTTGTACCACCAGGTCCCTGTCTATCTTTCTGCCTCCTCCCTATGCATGAAGCACCTCGTCCTCAAATTTGGGGAGATCTTGTCCAATTTAAAAATTCTACTACTCAATCATACTAAAATAGAAAGGTATGGTTGATTTTGATGAGTATGAATATCTGGGGTGGGAAGAAGAGATGAACTTTTTTTTTTTTTTTTAGATGGTAAAAACAACTAAATAGAACACTAAGAAATGTGAGCAAGAACTAGACTGGTGCCAAAATTGTTCTTCGCTCTGATCCCTCCATTTAACAGAACTGTAAAGCCCTTCCCAGTCTCTCTTCAGTTGGCAGGTTCTACGGGATTCCATTGGCTGTATCACCTTATCGTCTGCTGTAGGCTCCATGACTCATCTCCAGTCTGCCATCTTGTGGTCCTTCCTGTTGCTGCATTCATACTGGTTTACCCAGAGATTAACAGTGGATTTAGATGCCACATAGCTTGCATCACTGCTCACGTCTCCGTGTAACTCACAATAAAGAGACTTTGGCATCAACTGTGAGCTTAGGGGTAGAAGAAGGGTATATGTTAGGAGGTGGGAGCGGAATCAATTCTTCAAAGCTTAAGGATGTAAGTCATAAAGACGTTTCCTCGAGCTACTGTTGATTCATTGTTAGTGATTCATTATTGCGTTTTCTGCAACACTAAGAAATCATTGTTTCTACTAACTTTATAAAAAACATACAAGTAAAGAACGAGTGAAAATGCAGATTTTTTTTGATGAACTATATATACCTTCCTGGAAAATTTGAAGACAGAGACTGTGTTTTACTATGTTCATTTTTGCCCCTACAGTTTCTAGCATAGTCTTGGCACCTTGTAAATATTCAATAAATGTTTGTGGAATGAGTGAATGAATTGATTCTCCTACCAGTCTGAGCTATCAGTTATGTCTCTGTGGCTAGATGGACACCATGTCTTCCATCCCTGCCAAGAGTTCAACTGAATTCAAGTTTATAAATGGAAATGTGTGTGTATGAAGGAATTAAAACAATTCAGAAAATACAAAGTTTTAAAAACTACCTTTCCTAGACATAATTATTGTTAATCATGAGGTATTTATCTTTCTAGACCTTTTCAATATTTCTATGTATTTACATATATAAATATACAAATGTATACACACATGTAGATTTATTAAAACGTAAAAGGGTGTTCTTTGGGAAATAGTTCTTGAATTCCTTATTTTTCTTACAATTAATATGTGTAGGAGATGATTCCATGTCCACAGAAAATATTTAAAATGCATTAAAGTATTAAAAATATAGAAATAAACTATAGTCTCATAAACCAGAGATAACTAACCTTAACATTTTGGTTTATATCCTACCAGATGTATACTGTTTTTAACAAAATTGGGATGACACTGTATTACCATTTTATAACCTGTTTTTTTCTCTCTACCTAAAAATATATTACAAACTTTCTACTATATTAATATGGCGTCATTTCAATGACTGGTTTAGAGAAAGCATAGCCATGTGATATTTTGAGCTGACTCAGAATTTACAACTAGATCTCTGATGCTTCAAACTCATTTAAACACACATGATCTAAGGCAGAGAAATCCTACTTGTATGTTTGTATGTTCTCTGTCACTAATTAGAATAGCTATATCTTTCTGAGTAGTTATTACATACTAAATGTTTTGCAAAGCACGTGACATTATTTCTAATTATCAAAACTACCTTCAGAAGTAGGTATTATTGTTAAAATTTTGCAGAAGAGGAAACTGAGATTCAAAGAGATTCAGCAAATTGCTCAAGGACGCACAGTGAGCAATGATAGGGTTTAAATTAGAATCCATGTCTATCTGCTTGTAAAACTGTTGCTTTTTAAAATTCTAACTACTGTTTTGATCCACGTAGTATTTTCAAGTGTGACTTCTGTTCTAAAAGTCGCTGTCTAATATTAACGTCATAATTGAGTTGAAAGTAATTTCTGAAAGGAATTAAGACGCGTTATTTATTTTTTTTAGCTACTTAAAAAAGTTAAAGCACAAGTGTTTATTTTCTTTTCATTGACGAAAACAACCCTTTGCTTGGGAATGGGCAGAGAGCTTCCTTAACAATTGGAACTAGAGCGCCATCTGTTGACTGTAGAGTTCTAGGCATTTAATACAAGAAAATTACAAATTTGATCATCACTATTTCTTTCCTCAACAAAGAAAATGCCCTCAGTTGCTGGGCGCGGTGGTTCACTCCTGTAATCTCAGCACTCTGGGAGGCTGAGGCGGATGGGTCACTTGTGGTCAGGAGTTCGATACCCGGCTGGCCAAGAGTTCGATACCAGGCTGGCCAACATGGCGGTGTATTCCATCTCTACTAAAAATACAAAAATTATCCGCGCGGTGTGCCGCACACCTGGAATCTCAGCTTCTAGGGAGCCTGAGGAAGGAGAATCGCCTGAACCCAGGAGGCGGAGGTTGCAGTGAGCCGAGATCGCTCCTGCATTCCAGTCTGGGCGACAGAGCAAGACTCCATCTCGAAAAGAAAAAAAGAAGAGAGCCCTCAGCAGCAATCTTGGATGAAATGTCATTAGTCCTGACTTTAAAGATCAATTTATAATTGATTTAAATTTCATTTAGGTGAAATTTATAAAACATAAAATCAACCATTTTAAGGTGGACAATTCAGTGTAACATCACCTACTTCTATTTAGTTCCAAAACATTTCCATCACCCCGAAGTAAAGTCCATTACCCATCAAGCATTTTTTCTTGTTACTCCCTCCTCCACAGCCCTGACCACTGTCAATCTGCATTCCGTTTCTATAAATTTATCTATTCTGGATACAGTATTTCACATACATGGAATCATACAATACGTAATGTTTTGTGTTTCGCTTCTTTCATTCAACATGTTTTGTAGATACAGCTACATCATAGCGTGTTATCAGTACTTCATTTCTTTTTATGGTTGAATATTATTCTATTTTGTAGATACATACACAATAGAATAGATATCCACAGTCGGTTTATCTATTCATCTGTTGATGAAGATTAAGGCTGTTTCTACCTTTCGGCAATTGTGAATTGTGCCGCTGTGAGCATGAGTTACATGTACCTATTTGAGTGCCTGTTTTAATTCTTTGAGTAAATATCTAGGAATGGAATTGCATTAGCCTTGATTTTAAAATGAAAATATGGATGAGAAATACATGACTATATAGACTCAAAGATATTTGATGCAAAGTAAAATAATTATTTCAACAGCAGGAAAACAAAATTAGTAATGAATCTAAGGATGAACATTTTCTTACGCTTATCCACCACAGTGAGAAAGAAATATTGAAAGGTCTGCCTGGTTTGAAAAACTCACTTAACCTCAGCAGCCCTCAAATAACTTATCTTTATAATGAGGACAGTGCAACTTACCTCATAGATTTGTCCTGAGGATTAAATTAGAAAACACAATGCTTTGCACAGTGCCAACACATGTCAATTTCCTTGTCCTTTCTTTCTGCCATGACTTTTGATTCCATTTACCTGGAATTTCAGAACGGTGTGCACTTTCCACAGCAAAAGCAGTCTCTGAGTAATGAGAGGGGAGTTGAATGGAGTGTTGATCCATGCAGTTGCTTAGCATGATAGCGATGTTGTTTATCTTCCCCTCTGTGGCTGTTTGTGTCAATGTACATGAAATTTAGTTTTTCTCTTCTAGAGAGAACTTACTATATTTCTGTTTTAAGAGAAGTTTATCACTCTGAAAATGATCTCAGAAGGGCTTGTGAGATGTTTGACAGAAACTGTATTTTAAAACATTTTGTCTTTTGTCTAGCAAACATGCTGATTCTTGTTTTTCAAAATGTAATGCTCATGCAAAGGAAATGCAAAAGTATATCCAAGGTGTTATTAACTTTCAGGTATTCCTCTGAAGCTTGCTGAATTGCAAAATCTGCGTGCCCAAGAGAAACCACAGCTTTACAACCTTGCAAATATAGTCTGAATCTTAGTTTTGAGGAAATTTTAATTGTAAACGATTGAGGGAAATGCTTATCTGTGACTGGCTTGGCTTGGTTAGCACATTTATTTCCAAAATAAAATTAACTTCAGGGTTTCAAAAAATCTCTGTCTCTCTGCCTGTCTCTTTCTCTCTGTTTGTCTCTTTGTGTGTGTTTATGTTTTCAAGATGAAGGCCTTTATAGGAGGCAAAAGAGAAAAGCTAAGCCAATCTTAGAGAGAAATAAAGAAATATCTATAGTAGGATGTACAGCATACAAAATCAATGCAATTTGATGCACTTTTTTCCAGAAGGGCAGGACAAGAGACAAGTAACTGCCCCCAGGGACTCACTCAGCCTTGACATATGCTTGAACACATAGATTTCACGTTGAACACTAGTTGTTGTACATTTAGTTAATGCTAGATGCTACATTCTTTATCTTCTTCTGCCAGGACACCATCTTGTCTAGTGAATAATATTATTCCCAATTTATAGACGAGAAGACTTGGACTTAGAGAGATAACTAACATGTTCCAAGTTTGCAATTCTACGGTGGAAGAGCTGGGATTTTTATCTAGGTCATTGTAACTTCACACTTAACTTCTATGTTTTCTCTCTCTCTCTCTCTCTCTCTCTCTCTCTCTCTCTCTCTTTCTCTCTGTCCTAGGGTGAAGAAGAGTGCTCACCAGATTCCCTTCTGGTCTGGAAAAAGAAATTCCTTCTTTTGTGGATGTCATCTCTACCATCTCTCGGTAAAAAAATTTTCAAGTGACTCCTAAGATGGAGAGAGCATTGGAAGTCAACTGGCCCATTCCCCTCATGCAACTCAAAGCTTCTTTGTAAGGTAGGTCGCCATTTACTTTTATAAGGCCAACTTTGGGGAGTTTACTACTTTATAAAGCAATCTATCCGATATTTACAGCCACAATTGTGAAGAAATATTTGATACAACCCTTTGAATGACCAGTTTTGCCTAGTAAAACCTTAAAATTATTTTTTAGTTATCTCATTTATTAAATTGTTCCTTTGTTCGTTCACTCAAAAATATTAATTAAGCCAGGCTTGGTCTTTTTTAGCTTTGAAATTACAGTCCTAGATGGTTGTGAATACATATTTTATTCTACAAACCCTGTTGCTTCTAGTTCATATGGAATTTGCAGGTAACTAAAACTCTGTCTTTTTTCCCCAAGAACTGTTGCTTGGTCAGATCTGTTCTATTTAACCTGCAGTTAAACTTTTCCCTTAAACTGAAGCATTGAATTGTTCAGTTTCAACTCTTCTGCCAACTTTTTGAATGCTGATTAATACCTAAGAAGGTACTGTAGTTTTCTGGTGTCTGCAAGATTGGTATACATGCTGTCTGTCTCTTCATTTATGTGTTCAGAAACATACTAGATAGAAGAGGGTAAAGTTCAGAATGCTGAGGTTCTGTAGTACAGATCTCTCCAATGTTTTTACACCTAATATATTACTTAACATTTTGTGGAGTGGATTTACTCAAAGAAATGAATCCAACAGCCTATGTGCCTTAATTTTGCTTAAAACTATTCATGAGAAGTGGTTAAAAACCTTGCTAAGTTCCTATGAAAGAAGCTTGACCTCCTGGTGTAATTGTCTCAAGTCTGCCTTGTTTGGCCGAGGACCCAGCCTTTAGGCATAATCCCAGAAGATAGGGTCAAGTTCAGAGGCTTATGGGAACAATATCAGGAGAGATACAAACAACTCTCATAAAAGTAGAAATGAAGTCCATCTTGTATTACTTTATTTTTGTTTAATCTTTACTGGCTGTAATTATCTACCATCTCATGTTTGGGATAGCCACAGCATATTTTAAGTATAATCTTCTAGAATTGTTCTTGGAATAAATTACTTTCCCTAGGGCAAGCTGTGCCATTATTTTTCTTCTCCCTCTGTGCAGCTCCATGATCTTCAATTGTCACTTGGGTTAACACAGTCACTCATAAAATGTCAGGCTCCTAGAGGCTAAGTCCTCTACGTCAGAAACTTAGGACATGTTTTGAAGTACTCACTGCTTCCTATTATCTTAGTTAAATAATCAATTTAGAATTTACTCTTTTTCAGTTTCAGTAAGTATGATTTGCATTTATTTATGGGAGTCAAGCAATACTGTTTAATCTCTATCATTTCTTTGCAAGTAAGAGGAACTCTTTCTTTTATTTTTTAGAAAAATACTCCCAGAAGTTTGTTTGCATTATGAAGATCAGGTCTTGAGAGACCCAGTCTGGCTCTTCCCTGTACAAAACATTCCTCACAAACAGAATGTGGACAATTGCCAAATGTCAAAGGTAAAGTTATTGTGGGAACTCCTTCAAAAAGTTCAAGTGAGAGCTCATTCTATAAGGGACCATTTACACCTAATTTTTTTGTGTGTGCTATGTTACTTATTCTGAAGTGGTTGATCCAATTACTAAAAGGGAATATTGCATTACCTTTTATTTCCTATAGCATCCATTCTGACCCCTTTATCAGTTTGATTATCCTCTGATTCCATTCTTCATTCACTCATTTATTTGAGAAATATTTATTGACCAACAAGTATGCCAGATCCTGTTCTATGTGTAGGGACTATAAAGTTGAACAAGACAGAGGAGGTACTGGCCTCAGAATTTACATTCTAGTAGAAGATGAGAAAGTAAAAATAAACACATGGAAACATGAATGAACTGGATATTACAGACTGTGATAGGTATAGTTTGGGTAAAGCACAGAGTGCAGTACTAAAGATAAACTGGGCTCAGAGTGGAGCTATTTTAGATGGAATGGAGATCTCTGAGGAAATGAAATTTGAGCTGAGACCTAAAAGGTCACCCAAGGACTCATGGGAGAACTCATTTGTTTGTGTCAAAATTTAGCTTCATGAACTCCAGGCCCTTGCAAATGATGGTTACCAGGTGAGAAATGTCTCACTGGCAACAGAAGTTGGCAGACCCAGCTCCAGTTCCATCCTGGCCAACATGCCAATGTCATTAAAATAAGGCCATTCATCAAGGTGGAGACTATTACTAGAAACAAGCATTCTAAAGTGCCATTCGAGTGCTAGGCCCTCAACACTGGGCATAACACTGCTCTGTGTGGCTCTTGAGAGCAAGTACTGAGGCATGACCAAAAAAATTAAGTCCCATGTAAGTGATGCAACTGCTCCCCAATTACTGTGGAAGTATCTGCAGACTATTGTGCGTGTGTGTTTGTTTGCTTTAGTGAATAAATTCAGTCAACCAACCATCTAGCTATTGACTAAATCCGTTCTTTTTCTTCCAAAATAACTGTCTATTGGCTGAATTTTACTGTTTTTTATTTCTATTTGCATACATAATTTTCTAAACCCCATTCTTACGGAACCTTCTCTAAGTTCCTCTCTATGGCCCCGTTCCATGTTCATATGGATACACACAAAGACACAATTACACCAAACTAAGTTTAGAACAGTCTGGTGCCTGCCTAAGACTTCAGTCTCATCTCCTGCTTCTACCCTCTTTAGTTTAAGAGAAACAGGTAACATTACTAAGTGCCAAGTACTGTGCTAGTAGCTTTGCATGCATTTTTTCATTTTATCTTCACAAGTTTCCTCTATCACCATGATCTGTATGTTTGACCATGGTGTTTCTTCCACCTGAAATTCCCTTGGTACTCTGCCTGGGAAACTGTTACTCATTCTTCAAATCTCAACGGAATAATCTCCTCCTCTGGAAAACTCTCCTTATTTCCCTAGGAAGAAGTAATCCCTTCCTCAGTTCTGCTTTGATTATAACTTTATAAGCACCTGTCACTCTGCATGGTATTAATCCACTGTCATGTCCATTTCCTCCACTGGGATGTAAATTGCTTATGGGTAATAATTAGGCTTTGAATCATTTTATGATGTGGCCTAAGACAGTGCTTGACACATACTATGGGTTCATCAGATGATGGCTGAGTAGAATTAAATTGAATCAAGTTGAAGTTATCATTTTGATGTTTATCAATTAACATGTGTAGTGTGTTAAATGGTGGTCACTAAAAACATATGTCTGCTCCCTAATTCCTGAAACCTGTGAATATAACCTTACATGTTAAGAGGAAATATGACCTTAAATGAATCTGGAAACAAGGAGCTTATCCTGGATTATCTGAGAGGGCCCTAGATGCAATTGCATGTATTCTCATAAGTGGAGAGAAACAGAAGAGGAGGATGCAATGCGACCATGTAGGCAGAAGTTTGAGTGGTGCAGTCACAAGCCAAGGAGCCCCTGGGGCCATCAGAAGTTGGAAGAAGCAAGGAATGGATTCCTCCCTAGTGTTTGGAAGGAGTGTGCGCTTGCCAACACTTTGGTTTGAGACTTCTGGCCTCTGGAACTGTGACAGAATAAATATCTGTTGTTTTGAGGCACCCAATTGTTGCTAATTTGTTAAAGCAACCCTAGAAAATTAATATAGCATCCGCAATAAAATTTCCCAAAATATACGTTCCTGTGAAATGGAAGAGTTCTAGCGATCTAATAGCATATAAGGAATCCAGAGAAGTTATACAAGTTTTTCCCTGAAAGTCTTTTCAGATTCTTTAGTGGGCTAGGGTGCATTGTGAATCCCAAAAACTTTAGCATTTTTCAGCATCTTTTATCACAGAATCCTTTCCCCACCCATGGAATTATATACTAACCTATTTTTGTAGATGTTGATATTCTGTAGAACAGAGTTTTGGGTTCTATGTGACTTAAGATCCTTCTACAATGGAACACAGTTAGGAGGGTATTTAGAGGAGGCATAGAGGGCATCAATCTTGCAATATATACTCAGGAAATTACCACGGGCAGAATAAAACGCTTTTGCAAATATTTAGTGTCTGCTTGGCACTGCTTCTCTTGGGTTTAGCTTTGCAAAATTTTCCTCAGGTATCATTTTTATTGTTGCCATGGAGCCAATTCACTTCTCAAGGCAAGTTGGTGATTGGCCTAAGGGAAACTATTGAGAAAAAATGGACAGCTCAAGATGTGGTTTGAAACATTGATGTTCTTTCTTGGTGCACTCAAATCCTCTCTCTGCTATTATTTTTCTTCTTCACTCTCCTGGAATCTCCCTCTTTCCCAGTGTAAGTGAGAGTCTAATAGCTCATGATGCAGCTTGGTTTGTTGTGTATTGAAGTAACAGTAGCTGCATTTGTTTTGGCAAACCCGTCATCATTTATCTGAGGCATAACAATGGCCTCTTTATTGATTGTTTAATCCAGTTCCTGACGCTGGATTAAATAAATGAGACAACTGAAGCTCAGATACGTAAGTGACTTGGCCTTTGTCACCTAGCAAGGCACTGTTAGCCAGACACACAATCTCACTTAGTAATTTCTGCATAGTGCCTCCTACTAGACAAGCCAAGGCCCAGGGCACTGCACTCTGCATGGGGTGGAAGTAGGGTGTAGCATTGGAATGGAGGTAGTGGTGGAATGCAGCACTTGAAGCCAAGGAGAGAACACTCAAGAATCCATAGCCCCAGGAGAAGTAAAGTCAAAGGGAACCAAAATTCAAAGGCAGTAATCATCGAGAGGGACTCAGTAGTGAGAGGGAATTCATGGACAAGTGGCAGGTCAGAAACCAGGGAAGTCAGGGCTGCCAGAAATTTGCAGGCAGCAGGCAAGATCCCTAGTCTTTATACAACCCTGGTCTTTCTGTAAAAGGCTGGAAAGGGCCGGGCGCGGTGGCTCAAGCCTGTAATCCCAGCACTTTGGGAGGCCGAGACGGGTGGATCACGAGGTCAGGAGATCGAGACCATCCTGGCTAACACGGTGAAACCCCGTCTCTACTAAAAAATACAAAAACTAGCCGGGCGAGGTGGCGGGCGCCTGTAGTCCCAGCTACTCGGGAGGCTGAGGCAGGAGAATGGCGTAAACCCGGGAGGCGGAGCTTGCAGTGAGCTGAGATCCGGCCACTGCACTCCAGCCCGGGCTACAGAGCAAAAACTCCGTCTCAAAAAAAAAAAAAAAAAAAAGGCTGGAAAAAAATGTCTTTTTCAAACATGTGGTATTCAAATGTGCCGTAATTGTTCTGTTTTGAGAAACCAGAATGGTCTGGCTTTTGTGCAGAAATAAGGAGAATATCATCTTTTGCTGCTCAATGATAAATGTATTGCCTTACCTGAGCCTGGAAGACACTGCCCTGCATGTGCCCAGTGTCTCACAATGCTTCCTATGGGCAGTTTAGTTTGGTGCGTGACCTCTGACCTCAAAGTATCTGAATGGAAAACAAAACCACACTAGTTCACGCTACCTATTCCTCTTTCCTGCAAGCAAGTACACTCAACGTGCTAAGTCCAAACTGAAAGATCTGAGATATTACCCTATTTGTAAGCTAAAAAGTTAGCCTGCCATGATATGTATATATGTTGGTGTATATATACATATATTTATGTGTGTGTGTGCATACACACACGTGTGAGGTATGTAATATATATATAACTTTATATCTGACCAGGTTTTGCATGCCATGTTCTCACAAAGCAACACAATGAGGGCTTGATGTCATTGCACGTGCAGTGGTGTTGGCTCCACAGGAGAAGAAGAGCTCTGAAGTTATAAAGTTTGGAAATTTATGGGATATCCATCCATGTTTTGTTCTGGAAAGAGGAAGAAAGAAATACTTTACTCTGGAATGGGAAAAAAAAATATTTTTGTGGAGAAGAGGGGAGGGTTTTTATTTTACCAGCCTAGACTATAAACAAATGGTTTCAGGGACAGAAAAACCCTGAGGTCTCTATCTTTAGGTTTAATACTATGGTCCAAATATGTGTGTATCCTCAAAATTCACGCGCCAAAATCCTAATCCTAAAGTGACAGTATTAGGAAGTGGGGCCTTTGGGAGGTGATTAGAGGATGAAGGTGGAGGCTTCATGAATGGGATTTGTGTCTTTATAAAAGGGCCTGAAGGAGCTTTTTTACCCTGCCACCATGTGAGGACACAGTGAGAAGGCACCATCTATGAACCAGAAAGCAGATGCCCTAACCAGACACTGAATATGCTAGCGCCTTGATCTTGGACTTCTCAGCCCACAGAACTGTGAGAAATAAATTTCTATTGTTTGTAAGCTACCCAGTCTATGGTACTTTCTTATAGCAGCGCAAATGGACTAACACGTTTGATATTCAATCAAATGTTCTTTGTTCAGTGTTGTTTGTTCATTAAGCTCTGACCATGAGGAAACATGAAAATATTTGTGGAACACTGTCTCCCAACACCAAAACTCATCTTCTCTCTTTTTAAAATAAAGGTATTTCCAGAACATCAATAGATGCTGGGGTAAGTAAAGGAGGGAGAGAAAAAAAATGAAAAGGGAATGAAGCTATTGTACATATGAGCAGTGCCTGGGTTCTAGTTCAATGAGCCTAAAATGCCTGTTGCTATCATGATAAGTTACACACATGTCAATGTGAACTCTCACTAACCAAGGAGAAAACTGAGATAACTATTATTATTCTCTCTCTCCTCCCCTCCCCTCTGCTCCCCTTCTTCCCTCCCTCCTTTCCTTCCTTGCTTCCTTCCTTTTCTCTTTGTTCTTTCTTTCTTTTGTTCTTTCTCTTTCTTCTTTTTCTTTTTCCTTCCTTCCTTCCTTCCTTCCTTCCTTCCTTCCTTCCTTCCTCTCTTCTTTCTGCATCAGATGGTTAACAAAATAGACACAGTCTTGGAGCAAGTCTAGAGTGGCACAGAGACCATCTGTAAGCAAAGCATCATAAAAAATTATTACTTATAATGTTATTAATAATTATGAAAGAGGTACTCTTCATAATTTCATGGTACTCTTAAGAGTGTATAATAAGAAGAAAATATCTCATTTGAAAGTATTTTAGAGTTCCCAGACTTAACAGATAAAAAACACAGGACACCAATTAATTAGAATCTCAGATAAACAATGAACCGTTTAGTATAATTATGATTCATGCAGTATTTGGGACACAGTTATAAAAAAGTTTATTCATTGTTTATCCAAAATTCAAATTCAACTGGGCTCCTATATCTTATCTGGCAACCCTATGTGTCGGGTAGAGGAGGGGGTAGCTAAAAATCTTACTCCTAGGAAGTGACATCTGAACTGAGACCTAAAGAATGAGTTGGTGTTATCCCAATTCAAAGGTTTGGGGATGGAAACAGAGGGTAAGGATAGGTAGACCAGGCAATCATGGTCAGACTGTAAAAAATAAAGGGGAAAATGGCATTCAGAAAAGCCAGAAAGATTAGGCCCTGATAGGCCAGGTTAAAG